TGTTGACTGTTTAAATGTCCACATAATTACCGACATATTTCTGTCCGTACCCAAATGCGCTACATATCATCGCTACAACGAAAAGTCAGGTAAGGTTAGGGCACTTATTATAACACAGAAATTAGAAGGTATCAAAGGCTTTTTATCTTCAGTTAAGATGACTACGGTGAAGCAATAAATTGTTGCGTACCTTCTTCAAAATGCAGTATTTCATTATGAAAACGTTTGTGCTAAACAAATGGAAAAACAACCTGGAAAGTGCAGATTACACTTTGATTATTATCACTTCAAAAATTAGACTTTCACGTGATTACAATTTTAAGATTAGATACATTTTACTAATCACACCATATTAAGATAAACTTTGAACTTGTTTTGCAGACACTGACACATTTCACCAACTTTACAAATTTATTGGTTGGTTAAATTTGTGAAAATATCTGATATTATTATAAATAATCATGTTTCAGACATAGTTTTTGTTTTAATACCATGAAAAGTATCATCAAACAGTTATATATTATTGATTTGACTCTCAGTTAATACGTCACATACTGAAATGAATAAACCGTAAGTTATTAAATATAATTGTTAATACTAAATAAACTTTGTGATGTTCTTCGAGTAATGGAAATAATATGAAATACCGTTACAGTACATTAAGTATATCTGTTTTACCATTTATAATTTGTACAAATCAATTAGCTGAAATAGCTCACCTTCATTATATAATTTAAATGAATTTTCTCCTTCCATTCACGATAGATTATGAAATGACTCACATAATATAAGATATGATGAAATTGAAGTTCATAGCTCGGAACTTCACTGCTAAATATTATAGAACGCTTTTCCGTATAGTGTCAGCAAAACTAGGATACTGTGTAGCGAAACAATAGTTGGATATTTTTAGTAACTTGGAAAACTCCGGGTGTGACAAGCTTTGGTTTCGAACTAATCTGTGTTCCAGATGTGTGGATATATTTATCAGTAGATAAATTCCTACAGGTTAAAAGACCATATATTCTATGTTTGCATCTACTTAAGTCTACCATAAACTAATTAGTATTCTTTTTATTAAGAGTTTATTTGGGGAGTTATTTGTAATCTATCAATTTTTTCTTACAAAATTGGAACGATTGATACTGAAAGGCAAATCATTTACTTAAATAATTAAAAGTTGATATTCCATTCCTCACAGGGGATTTGAAGTGGTTCTTCCAGTAGTGAATACGAATTACTGCTAGCCTAACTAGGTATTGATATTTTCAGACATAAAAAGCATTTGAAATAAATGAAGAGATAATTGTAAACTTCAACTAAAAATGCTATAGGTCGTTGTTATCTTGATGTAGATATATACGGAAAATCGCTACATTACCATTTCAAAAAAGCTTTGAACAAATGAAATATCCTCTTAGAATGTGACAAAAACACAGTGAAATCACTTTTCTGCTACGAATTTTAATATTCTTGTTAAACATTTTAACCACGTTATTCATCACTTGGCTTCTATTTGTAGATCTTCACTACATCTTTTAATGAGTATCATTTTGTGTTTGGTTATCGGTCATCAATCGTGGTCAGTCGATTTCGTGTAGAATCTGTCTAGATACGATATATTACCAATAAAATTCAGTATTGTTTCAACCGATAGGAACTTTGCTAATACTTAATTGCACATCCAGTGGAAATAAGGCCTGTGGTTCATTAAAGCTATTTTTATGACCTAATCAAATTCTTATGTATGAATTAATTACTTCATGTTGTAAAGCTTTTATTGTTAAACAAACAGAAATATGGTATAAATTTATTTATTTCAATTATCGGTGCAATAAATATGAAATTATCAGAGATTTTAAAAATTTCAATAGTTGAAATCATGAGTCAATTGAAGCTAGACCACTATGGAAAACCTGATAGGTCTGATAGGTCCTGGGTTCGAATCTCGCGGGGGGCGAGATGCGCACTGCTAAGGAGTCCCATACTAGAACAAAACGGCCGTCCAGTGCTTCCAGGTTTTCTATGGTGGTCTAGCTTCAACTGACTCATGATTTCAATTATTGAAATATGAAATTATTCATTAGTTTGATTACAAAAAGTTGTCCAAAATACTGTTCAGGAATGTGACATTTTTTTCGTCTGCACCATAGACCAGAAAAAGGTTTTTTTTAATTAGAGTTCATTAAGTTTAAACGTTCTTTTAAACAAACTTATTTTGCTAATTCACAATGAAGAACGAGCATAAATTCTTATCTAATGGATTCATTGTTGAGGCAGTAAAAAACAGAAAGGCGATTGCCTCTTTACACTTGTTATTGTTATTGACGAAAATGTAACTTTTGAAACGTGAATAAACCGTAGAGCTGCAATAATAGCTTAATTGTTTCGCATAAACAGAGTTTGTTTCAATAAACTATCTATTTAATTCTTTCCACTTAATCCAACTGTATATATTCGAGTACAGGAATTTGGTGGTTAAAAAGTAACACCTTTTCCTATTTCATTTATTTTTTTAATAATGAGTGACCTGATAATATTATTTACTTTTAAATTCAATAATTTGTAAACAACAGTTTTCTGATGTTACTTATATTCTGTAAATGACAAACCTGTATTTTAAATGCCATTGAACGTTAAACTACAGGTAATATTAACACCAAGCTTAACTTTGACTGAACACAATTTATAAACCAAAGATGATTGTAGTCATTTGAAATCACCTGAATAAATGCTGAAAATTTAAAAAGATCATTTGAGTGTCATCAGTGTTCATTTGTGTACTTTACAGAATCCATTATACAATATCCTCTTTGAAATGTAAACACTATGTGTCCATTAGACAGATTAAGAGTCATCACGTGTTTTTATTTTATTTTTATGATAAATGGGATTTAAGAGTACAAAGCATGATGTATCACAATAATACCTTTAGTTCTCGCAGGTATTTATATGTTTTTTTGTATGACCATGAGTAAAAATCTATACCTTACTGTGAAGGAAACATGAAGTTTGAAAATCGTACTCAGATATCCTTATGTATGCTCTTTCTTTAAGTGGAAAATCGAATTTCAAGCTTCCTGAAGACAGATAAGTTGGATAGCACTTTAACTTACCGCACTACACTCCTACTTCTTAGTTATCAAACCGGTTACTTTAATTTTAAAGGAATTAATCTATTTAAAGACTTTTGTTGAAGCTTTGAAACTGCAATCTTACGCAGTAATTATTATAAGGCTTTCAGAATTCATTTTAAGTAACAACATTTAATATACTTTACTGGATTCTGGAGTTCAAACACTCCGATAGTCAAACACTTTGTGAAAATAAATGTTGACTATCACAGTCGAAATCACTAAGTGATTTTAGTTAGACCACTGTTCAAAACCAGAAAGTGCTGGAAAGTTGTTTTTCCTTATATGGAACTCCTCACCAATGTGCACTCACGACCTTGACACGGAGAATCAAACCCATGACATTTGATTTCACGGGTGGACAGTGTGATGACTTCACTCAAGGGAAGATGAATGTGTGCTATTGTGAATTGATTAAAATTAGACGTACACGCCACTGAAAGATGGCTTGGTGGTCTGAAGATTACGGATTCGCCTAGGAGACTGGAGATGCTGGATTCGTTTCACTGTACCGAAATGGTAAATACACATTCATTAGGATTCTCATACTAGGTCGAAATGGATGTTCAGCGTCTCCTTATTGTTATAACTAGTGCCCTTGTGCCCTATCAATATATAAGGTAACGATACCGCCAGTTAGACAACAGTGAATTATCGATCGGACCAGTGACGCATAAAACACGTACGAGCAGTCTAGAGTGCCTATTGGCCCTGCTTCGTGCCTAGCTCATCCAATTAAGTTCAGAACACCAATCTCAGCCTCTGCGATATAAATCACGTATTTCGAATATACTGGGTTTATATACAAACCAAACAGACCACATCACTTCATAAAATAGAAAGTAACATTTGTGCAAGATATAGCCAAAAAGTGGCTGTGAATGTGGTAGGCAGTAATTAATAGACTGGACAGAACTCAGGAACGGTAAATCGTATAACAATATTCTATGCGTCAAAATAAAGCTTTTAATAAGAGGAACATGAATATGCATAGTTTATCTACTTAATAATCATACCATAAAAGTATATGTATTGTATTGGTTCATAAATAATTCTCAAAAGTTACTATTCATAATTCCCGTAGGGACAGAACACTAATTTTTAACAATGGTCTAGCTAAAATTCCTTTGTAATTAAAACTATAAAAATTCTATAGTTTGAAAGAATCATTGTATTCTGAAAATAGAGACTAAACTTAATGGTCTTGAACTTGTTTAGGACTTTCGCCTTAATGGTGTTAATGATACTTTCGGGGAATGAGGTTCGTATCTAGAAAATCTATGGCTAAGAAGTTGTAAATCAGAAAAGTAATGAGATTGCTTTTGGTGGTATTCTAAGTCTTGGTCAATCTAGTGACACTGCAGTACTGTGGTGAATGTGCTTATAATATTTTAATCCATAAAAATGCCTTGAGATTTATTATTCTATTTTTTTTCTCACTCTTCTGTTTTGCTTTTTTAAGGACGATTTTCTGCTATTGAGTTCTCTATGATTTAGTATGCTGGTTTTTCATATTACCCCCCAAAAATACATACCATTTTTTCTTAATAGTTTTTCTCTCATAGATGAATTTTAAGAACTTTATAGGCTTATCCTTGCTGTTATCATACTACTGTGACAAAATTATTTGGTTTCATGAATGTACACCCACTAAATGCAGTTTTAGTATTATTTTGTGGCAATTTTCGAAGTGTGATTTAAAAGGCGAACAACTAGAACATGTATTTTTAGAAACACCCAACACTTAAGCGGAATGAAAAAAGCTGTCAGAATGTGAATAATCCAGAACAACAACCAGGCAGACTCTTTACTGCTGATCGGTATTTTACTCATATAAAATATGTATTCACCTTTCTCTTTCAACAGAATTCATCGACCTGTTCAATCCCTATTTTCGACATCCAGCGGATTTAACAACTTTCGTGGTCTGTTAAATCTGGCTGCCTTTATACTTGTCATCTCAACATCTAGAATGGCATTAGAAAACATTATCAAGTAAGTTTTATTGTGTATATAATCTTTTTTAATATTGTACAGTGTTTCGTGCAGCCCAGTGATTTTCAATAAAGCTGATTTACTTAAAATTAGTTTTTACTACCTATTACAGGAATTTCACCAAGGAGTTATATTCAGTTTTAGTATTGTGATAACCCTTTTATTATGAAACAACTACCATTTCTAAGTTGTGTCATAACTACACCAAAATTTAAACTGATTGGTTTTTTAAATTTAATTGAAGAGATTAACTTGGGATAAGTGTTTATTACACAAATTGATAACAGACTTAGTCATCTGGTCAATCACCATAAAATCAGTGTAACAGAAGGGCGAATTCATCTTCAGCAAGGCTACTTAGTGTACATCCACTTTAGCCCCAGTATCAATAAGTACTGATGTTTTTCAGAATGACTATGTTTTGTGCCGCAAATGTATAAACAGCTATAGTACATTGGTGAGTGAGTGAGTTGGAGTATTTCAGTATAGTTTTACTGTTCGCTGTAAACAGGTAGCATCCAAAAGTGCATCTAAAATTAAGATTTATTGCACAACTGGTTCCACTTATCATTCTACTAGTCATCAATAGCCATTCAGAAATGACCTTTAGGTTATTGCATGCAATCTACATTTTTAATATTTTTAAATTCAACCTGATTCTAATGTTCATTCCATTTACTTTAGCCGAAATTTTCGCAATACTAAGTAATAATAGTTGGTTCGGTTCTGTCGGCCTCCCAGCTTCCTGAAATACATACTGCTCAATTTTAAGTAAATACTAAGTCTAAACTGTCTCAACTTTTCATTTTCCCTATCCTACATGTAATAGTAAGTCTAGACGAATAAAAACGATTACAAGGTTTAAAGGGCAAAATGTCTGTTACATGACCTGAAAATCACGAGCTTATTTTTATCAATATACGTGCAATTAGAATAGTTACGCAAGAACTCATTTTACAATTATTGTTCACTCGAAATTAAATTTCATTTCTTTAAGAAATTTCAGCTGAACAGGGACTGTTTTATTCTCTTAAGTTTACTGGATTTAGTGAAAGTATTGCTGGAAGAATTTAAATAGGTCTTTAACAGTGATTTAACAAATCTTTATTAACGAGTCGAAATATTTGAGCTCTTTTTTCAAAATCAGGATATTTTAGTGGTGATTAATTACACTTCACGAACTTCAACTATAATTTATTTATTACTTCATACATTTCAGTAGAATTACTTTTTAAATTGGTCAAGTACCTCATTATAATTTTCATAACTACGGTCATATTATATTGATTGGCATACTTTTTATTTTGCATGATCCAATGTTGTCGTCTTTTTCAGGTTTTTACTTTATATGCACGTATAAACAATAAATTTATTAACGAATTACAGCTTTAGTTAAGGTTTCAGTGACTAAATTAATTAGTGTAGTCGTACAAAACCAGAAATTTGAGTGAAGACCTTAGTTTATATCACGTTATCTATGTGATGTTTGTTGTATGTGTCCTGATCAATTTACAATGTTTTTGATAAGATGAACGGTGTTGCGTTATTACTATTTTTTTATAATAACAGTCTTGTGTAATTGATAATTCCATTTCTTTGATATACAACTTTAAAGGTTACAGAATATAATTGTACTTTGTAAAGTTTAACTTATCTATTCTCGTCAAGACACACTCGAAGTTATTGTAGTCAAAGTAGTTAATTGACCGACATGAGCTAATGAAAAGTGGATGTAATTGGACTAAGGCAAACGAATTCTACAGTTTGATACGAAAAAAATCATAATCTAAAAAAGGAATTATTTCTAGTTTACACTTTCTGTTAATAGCTGATTTATAACGTGGATTGAAACAGGATTAAACATACGACACAACATCCTTTCATAAATTTCCTTGTTGTCATAATATTATGATATTCGGTTTTAGAGTTTCAACTTTGATTACATTTTCAAAATATATCAGCCACAAAAGTACTTCGGAAAAAACCAGTGTAATCTTATCCAAAAGATTACGATTCAAGAAGTGTATGAATCGTGAATGATTATCTTGAATATTAAAATTTCCCTCGACAAATTTCACCTTTATACCACTGATTTGTACATTAACTAATCCTTGATCGAATAGTATGTATCATGATCATATGAGATGAATATATTATTTTAAAAGAAATCGAATTCAATTATTCAATTTACTAATGATAATATTTTAATAGAAAAATCTGTCAAATGATTTTGTTTGGCAAATTCAATCATATGATAAAAATATAGATGGATTTGTTGAAGTACAACAGCTGACTACCAATTTTTATGGTAAATTCATATATTAAGTGGTTCAGATTGTTAACTTTTGTTAACCATAACGGAAAGGGCTTTTATTATTAGGTCAAAAGCTTTACTGTTCAGTACTCCGCCTGTTGAGATTTACTATAACTAAGTGTTCCTAAAGTGATATCTTTATTCTTAATAATCTATGGTATCTGTTCATTTAGTATCGATTCATCATATATAGTATTGGTAAACAATGTTTTGTTTACATAACTGTATAGTCGTCCATAAATAAATACAACAATGTTCCCTGCACAATTTATAAATCGTTACAGTTTGTCGAAACTAAAACACCTATGACTAATAAACATCATTTATTCAGGTGAAGATAGATTGGAATACTGGTAAAGTTTAAAGTAGTAACGTGTCAAATGTTATTTAATAAGTTTGTTAACTGAAATATCGATCCATGTTACAAACGTATATTAATGCAATTAAGAATGTACATTATGCAGATAAGAAGGAATTTTATTTTATTTTACTTTTCCTAAAGATCGGTCAACAAACTGCTTGGTTATTTTTAAAAGGGACTCGAATATCTACCATCTCGTTACATGTTTTCTACTTAGTACAGATACTACTTAATACATATGCTAGGTTAATCTATTTTAATCACTGGTACTTTGAACAATGGGAGTGAATCAAGACGGTATTTCAGTGGCTTAAAATAATGAGTCCTAAAAAATACACAAATGAGTATTGCAACCTATGATTCTATATGAAGTAACATGTATTAGTCTTACTACCATTGACTTGACAAATAAATTTTCCAATGGTTAAGGTCATGAGTCAGTTGAAGCTAGACCACCATGGAAAACCTGGAAGCACTGGACGGCCGTTTCGTCCTAAAATTTTGTAAACAATCAATATCAAATGTTTGCACTCACCAAGTTGATATTATCAACTAGTTCAAGTGCATTAATTGTGTAATTTACAGAAATTATACTAAATAATAGATTTTGACCTCATTATCCAACTCACCATTTATAACGTAAACCACGAAAACAATAATCAAGTTTTGTGACGTAAAACAAACAAAATGACTTTTACATTAGTCCATTTCAAAATACACTTCTATGTTATATCATTATACATCACTAACATGAATTCTAATAAGCTTATTGAAAGTCAGAGGTTAAAGTCGCATATATGTATTCCATGAAAATTAAATCAAAATAGGTAGTAGTTAAACAATGCTGACAAAATAAGTTTCGACTTTGTCGAACAAAATAACTCACTTTTATATCTCATTTCGTTGTTACAATAGTAGAATTTAGATGTAGGCGTTTAATTTTAGTTCGTGGAACTTTCATGAAACCTAAACTGCATAATAATATAGTACCATAAGATATAATGGCGTTAATGATGTTACTAAATAACGAGCCAGAAATAAAGATTTTAGAACGTTTTGAAAGACAACCAGTTCATACTATAAATGTTTATCTATCGTAAACTATAACTGATGTATTCCCACAATTATATTGATTATGGCCAAATCAAGGCTATGGATATCAAATGATTTCTTTTGATTACAGAATTTAACTTTCTGGATATTTTAAAGCAATTTTACTAGTAAAAGCTTGCATGATGTATCAGCATTTCTTAAATAAAGGGTTCTCATTCTTAACTGTGATTTGTTGTTCTGTCCTTGAAATTAAACGTTTGTTATCATTGATTTACATTAGTTTAACGAGAATATGAATATTTTTAATCATAGTTGTCAAATACATAGTTTGTTTGGTTCATATTACTAACTAATTGCAAAAAATTTTCTACAGGGACTCGAATGATTGTGGACATTTGAAGCCTTAAAATATAATGAATTCACTTTATTCTGCAACTATTCTCCTCGCTTTATTCAAGTATATATATATATATATATATATATATATATATATATATATATATATATATATATATGACCAAATTTTTACATTTGCATATTAAACATCTATCAAATCTGACTGAATATAAAACGATTTTGCTTCTTATTGTTCAGGAAATATCTTCAAGTTCCAAACTTAAAACCTTATCCAGAATGACTTTTTTCAGGAGAGGATAAGATCGTCTACTTAGATATTAGGGATTCCTGAAGGACATTGCTCTATGACAGGTCAGTTTGTTGTTACCTATTACACCTAGAACTGACAATTCTTTTACAAGTGAGTGTGTCAAGAGTTATATTTCATCAAACTGACTGAATCAACTCATATAATTAGTTATCCTAATATTGTATATAACAAATTACTTACTAATCAGCTCGAATCTTTTTTAGGGGAATTTCCATTTCAAAAAATGACAAGATATTCTGCAAAGAGCTCACTTTTCAACTACTCCATTATTGTACCATATCTCCTCTAAAAACAAAAGTTGGACCTATCTCCGATGGTTACTGATCTGACTGTAAGTCAGCTCTGTGAATTAGGTTCAATATAAAAAAGGAACTATATTCAAAGCATCTTTGTTAGCCTCATATTACTAAAACAAACTCTTGGAATAAAAACGGTTACTGTTATGCTGTATTCGTAAAAAAGTGGAATAAAATACATGTTTTGAAAGGAACACTTGTATCGTGGGCACATGACTAATTTGATGAAGTTACAAAATCACATAACTTTGTTTCATTCACTCAGTTAAGCAACGGCTTCCGGCAATTACATCATTCTACGTCTTTATGAGAAAATAAGAAATAGATATTTAGCCTGTCAGCTTTTTGACAGTAAACTGGAAAACGCAATTATTTTATACAAATCGGTTTTAAAATATATTATTTGTTTATTTATTGCTAGAAAAATTCCATATATCTCATACAACTTTATTCACTTACATCGTTGCGAAGATTAGTGGCACTACTCTTTACGTAAATCTACAGTTTCTTATTGTGGCATTTTCTCAGTCAGTCTTATCATTATTATTTTTATCAGTTTATGCCACATTCATAAATAGTGATTCAATAAATCTAAAATCTGTGACAAAGGTCACTTTCTATAGAGATTGAAATATAATGTTAATCACGAACTTACAGATGTGAAATTTTAAAATTTAGGGAACGGTGGACAACTGTTCAATTTAGTCTGTTTATCAAATTAACTGTTGATCCAATAAGGCCAAATGTAGGAATGTAAACAATTAAATGTATTCGTCATTCTTGTAAATAACTTATATGCATCACAGTTATTTTGACAAATGGAAAAGTTAAAAATGGCAACTTACATGTCAGACCATAACCTTTAACCTCTACAAGCATGATAACCCTAAAGTTTTTACATGATGTCATTAGCAAAACTCACAAGAGCAGTGTATGTGTATGTAACACTTAATAGCTTATGATTTCGATAATTATACGTACGGGAGGATTTGTTTAAATTGTACGTTAGTTTCAAACTAGAACAAAACAGCTTCCCAATGTTTCACATATATTAGAGCACAAAAATGATCTAAGAGAATAAATAATGTCCCAGAGACAGGGAAGAAAACACCAATTCATTTGCACTGTGGTGGAAGGCTACAAATTCTTTTTGTTCTATCAAACTGCTTATTAAGCTTTTTTACTTTAGAAGCATCTTATAGTACATATGGGGTTGAAAATCCTGTAACTGTTCGAAATACTCTAATCTCATATCAGATAAGGGATACGGATAAGGTATCGATAGTTATTGTAATATTAGACGTTTTGTACTAGGGAGGTTATGTTTATGCTTTATTGTTTTCAGCCAATTTAGAACAAGGTAGAATAACATTACTCATAAGGTAACACTAGCCGTCGCTTATCATGTATTAAATATGAAACACTCCTGAAACTGTGCTGTTGTCACCAAGAGCTAATAAGGTATAAATTACAACTAAACAGTTTGATATTATATCATCATTTAAAGTAGATTTTCTAACTAAAATCTATAAGATCATTTGTAATCAAGGCTCAACAAAACTTACCTGATACTGAAGATTACCTAACACTATAAAATTTATCATCGGTTTAAGAAGACTCGAATAAGGAAGTAATTATTTATGGTATTAAAAACTAATTACATTTGCTCTCGAGTATTTAGAGTTGCTCGACATGATGATATAGACTAGCTGGAACCCATCAGTTTGTGATTATGTTTATCTGTCAAAGACTGTTTTTATTACAACCATGGTCATTAACATTAAACTATTGAAACTCAGCTTGATGTTTTCTGAGTCTGCCACGTTAATATTTGCACGATATAGACGAAGGTTTATAAAACTGGATTTCTTTAATCACATATAAGTGTGGGTGCTTTTTCGTAACTCAGTAGACTACGGATCAAAAATAAAGTTTAGCGTAACATGATATACTAGAGCAGTCAAAAGATAGTGACTAAATTACTACGGATACTTCGGTTATAAAATAAAAATCATGTTAGTAACTTTAGCAGATTTAAAAGTTAATTATTTCGAGTTACTTTTATGCCCAGTCTCAATAAAGAAGAAAACAACCGTAAGAGTCGAGTAATTTTGATCGTTCTATTTACAAGATTCTTATTAGCTGCTTAGAACCTAAAAATATGAAATAATTTTACGGATCAAAACCTATTTGACTAAAAAATACTGCAAGAGTTAGTCGCAGAAATGTTTTACATCTGAAACCAATATAAGTGAATATCTGAAGTATCATACGTTGCCGACAAAAACATCTACTAAGGGGACGATCAAATGAATACTCAAAAGTATAAGGAAAGTTTGATAAACTTTTAAAAATATCAGTTTTCTGAAAATGATTAACTTTTTACAGGATTTATTACAGTAGGTTAATTATGAAGCTATACTTTCAGAAAACTCAGTTCTGAATAAGGTTTATTTTAACTCACATAAGAAGTGTAGCTATAAGTTTGAAACTATCGGCTTACATATATTTTACAAAACAACTAAACTTATTTAGATATAGTACATGACTAAGTTACAGATTGATAATATTCACTCATTAACTGGTTACGTTTTCGTTATGAAATCTATTATCTTACAATCTGATGTATTCAGTCCATTGCGGTGATGAGTGAATAGATGAATTTGAGGTTCCATAGCGATTATTATGATTGTAATTGTTCATATGGTTTTATTTAGTATTTAACGAATATATAGGATTATTAGTAGTTTCCAACTTACACATAACTAACTTCCTGTTTTCATTAGTCGTGTTTTAATTGAAACTTATACACATCTTTGTAAACTCAGTGTTATTTCAAGAGTGTAACTCATAACTACTTTCATGCAGAGTGGTGTCTTATCCACAAAGAACTAATTAGCTGTTTTATTCTACTGTAGAGCTCTTTGCATACTATATCATTTATTCTTTTGTTAACGGAAATATAGCCTTCATGATCCAAAAAACAGCATACTGACGTCAAACCATTGTTAAAAAATACAACGGTTGATATCTTTATCTATCAAAGTAAGTATGTATCTATTGTTTATCAATGTTAAAATTAATTTAATGAATTACATAGTAATATTCCTTAACCATATATATGTGCGCATGTGGTTGGATTTTATAGATATGGAATCATCATGGATCCATTTTCATGGATTCGTTTTCTTTTACAAGCTCAACAGAAATGTGCGGTAATTGGGTTATTTGGTTGTAAGTTCGTTATCGTTTTCTGATCATTATTCGTCGTACACAACGCATTTACTTGTTTTTCCATAAAATCGTAAAATACTTTCATGATCTCCCGTCGATCCAGCTTCATGAGTGACCTTCAGAGAAACTATTAGTCATCTATTCATAAAGATCTTTATTGGAAACTATTAGAATATTTAATAATGTGGTTATAAATTCAAATTTATTTATACTTAGGACTGAAATCACTACTCATACAATAACCCTTATTTTTAATAAACGTGGTTTGGTTAATGAAATATATTTTTCGTAGATGTTTCTAGTTGTAACGCACTTGTTATGTAAGTGGGGTTTTTCCATTAACACAAAATAAAGCCAGTTTTGTTTGATAATCAACGGTTGCAAGGGCTGATAAGTTTTGCTCGAAGACTTCAGATCCGCTAATCAAACATCACTACCAGTATTCTCTAGAAAAATACCCCATTTCAATCAACGAACTTTGACATGAGTTGTGTATCATTCGCAGTTGGTCAAACAGATTTGCCTTTCGTGTAAAAATAATGTTAATCCAGAGCTATACAATGACTGGATTTCTCAACTTCATCTGTTACAAACTAGCTGATAACATGAGCTTTCTTCAACTTATTTATTAAGTGATTTGGCCTCACTAATCTGTCTAGTTGATATTACTACTGATCTCTGTACAACATAAATGTCATCACTACTTGTAAGAGGACGCAAGAACAAAAAAAACAATCCCGATTACTTATGAAGGTCGTAAGTCAGGTGTAATCTAAATTGCTATAATTATTGATCCATTACTGAGTTAAGGGAACGTTTTCAAGTGGTACTCAGGCTAATCTTATACCATAGTTGCACGATGACCCAATCTATAAGCAACCCTACCAGTTAGTCAATCACCAAATGTTATTTTAAATTCCAAGTTTATATACTTTTTAAACGATGTCATAATGTTTTTTACAAATTTCCACCTAGGTACTAATGTTTTTATTATATTCGCTTGGTTAGTTGAACGTGCAACTGTTCGTGGTTTAGTTGGTGGTAAATTTGCAATGATGCTTATTGGTTGGAATTTATTTTGCCTGCTCACATTCCCGACCATCATGATCTTATCAATGGATTTTAGTCCTTGTACGTTACATATAAATGATTTATGAATTTATAGATCTTAATGTGTTCTTCATTTGTCTTTGTGCATTCACGTTCTTTACAAGTATGAACGTCGTGTTCACTAAAGACGTTTAATCGTTTTCGATATATATATTAAACGAAACGGTTAGCAAAAGACTAATTATCATGTTATGAATGTTTTAGAAAAATTAATAATAAATAGTTAAGTCTCATGTGGAATAAATTGTTTTTCAAACGTTCGCAAAAGATGATATCATCTCACTACTTGGTATGTCTGTCAAGCAGATGAGTACACAATGGCTGGCTTGTGTCTAGTCTTCTAAGCTAGCTTTAATCGATAAGGTTTGGTGTAAGACTGTGTTGGCAAAATAAAAGTGGCCAGATAAATTAATAAGCTGACTGACCTCTCAGTAGTTTGAGTCACATTAGATTACTAGCCATTGTTTTTGAAGGGATTAAATAACATGCCTAAAAATTGTTTCTTATTAATTTGTTTGTTATTTTCTGTGGGGAAGTAAGATAACTTGATCAATTGCTCAATTATACGGCCTTCTGAAATGTCATTTCTCTGTTAATCTCATATAATATCATATGGAAAAATGAATATGGACGAATAGAAGCATGGTATGAAATTTTTGACCGAGAATTGTACCCTTTAAGTGATATGATAATAAACCTTATTAATGTACATTATTAACGTAAGTATGCTACTTATGTCGACGGACATAAGTAGTGTGTAACACCAATCAGAAGTGAAATGCTTGGCAGCAGAATGTTGAGAAGATCGAAGAGAAGAGAACGGGAATGTAAACAGAGAGTAATTATGATAGCAATGAAGGACGACTGACCCCCTGTGGGACTAAGTTGTATTTACAATTGGTTGATCACTGGGTGGTGATCAATGTCATGTATGTCAGGTCCTTCTTAGTGCAGATCGAATCCTAGGTGACCCTACCTAACATACATAACATTGATCACCACTCAGTGACCAATCAACTGGAAATATCAAATGATATTAATCATTGTCTTGCCTTCGGAATATGTAGTTTAGAAATCGTTCTAAGTGACTAGGCAGTTTTCTCAATTTATTGATTGTGATAAACGATAATCTACTTTTAACTATAGACACTACTGGTTTAAAACCTATATGTCTAGGTCGGTCCACCGCGAGCAGTACATTTTTATTAGCACATACTGCCACCAACTATTGAATAAGGACTGATATTTTTACTTTCTGAACTATAAAAGGCGAATGCTATAATTTGTATATTATGTGTTATAATAATGCTTGTTAACAAAGTTCAAATAGCCCATCACAGGTTGTCTCACTTATTTACGTTAATTTTTCTTATTAATACTACTTTAGTGTTTAGCGCTCCTGTGCTTGGAGTGTACACTATTGTTTTTCTGAAACTATTTTCGTATGCTGCTGTTAATCGGTGGTGTCGCGAATCAGATGAAGACGGGGATTGCAATGTAGATGTGGTTTTGGGTGTATTGGGAAAGTCGACACCGAAATCAGCTCCCACTCATCATGCCCATATCAGCAAACCTGAGAATTTGAATCCAAAACCTATTAACAATAATGGTAATTCTCATCAATTCGATGATCATTCTGAGACGATTAATAAATACAATTCAGTCAATGAATCTTCGGAAGAAAATCATGTATTCAAGCGAAAATGTTCTCTAGTGTTAGAGCATCCAGATATTAACTTTCAAGAAAATGGAGTGAATACTAACGCAGAGAGCAAAACCAATGACTTGCGATTAGAAAATGAAAACAACTCTGAAGTCACACATGAAGCTACCCGAAATAGAAAAAATAAAATTCCAAATTTTTCTCCGAATTCGATGACTTCGGAAAATAATGCAAAATCAACAAAGCATCTTAGCCAATTACATATGAAACATAAAAGTCAATTTAGAAAATGTAAGATATTTCATAGGTTTGTTATAATTACTTCATTTTATTTTTGTGACTTTGACATGTGAATTATAATTTTATCCTATCTTTTCCCTATTGTATGCTGTTGGGTAAAACCTGTAATCAGTAACATGTGATATATTGACAAATGGCGTTGGTGCTATAAAAATCCTAAAAATTTCCGTTTTCTGTCAACACAATATTTATTATCAGAAGGGCTTTTGTGGAGATTTTAGTAATTTCAACTATTGACCGTATTTGTTATTAGATAAATAATATGCCTATGTGACACTAGAAGTAAAAACGTTACTCAATTACCCTAGTTGATCACCATCCTGGTTAAATACATTTTAATTGTATGTCTCTGAGTGGCTTAGAGACTTTACAGCTAGACTTAGCAAACTGTTTTCTTAATTTCTACGAGGTTACACTCTGTTTTCTGTTCAGCGATTCAAAAGCTATTACACAGTTTATGTTCCTAGTTCGATGACCCATTTCATTCCTGTTTTCATTCCACCTTATTTAGTCAGGACACGATGACTTACACGGATGACTGAGAAGTTATTTACTAACGCGTTTCACAAAGAATTTACTCTTTCATTATGTAGAATATTTAATTTCGGTGATGGTGCTTACCTCAAGGATCCATAGGGAACGCCTTATAGGTGGCAGAACCCAAACAATAAAATGGTTCAAATAGGTTTTGGCTGGAAGTAATATTGTCTAGCAGTTACGTGAAAAATGATTATCTCTCAGTCTGTTTGATGTAAGTCGTTTGAATAAAAAGACATATTATTAGCATTTCAACAGATTAAAAATACCTGAGTTTAGCTGACTGTAGAATTTCAGTGGGACTCTCTTATAAACAAAACGACAAACTGTTTTATTACTTATCATCAATTAAGTATATTTCCGTGTTTTGTTATCACAAAATCTTTAGTCATTTTAAGTTACCAAACTGTCCATTTAGCTACTTTCACTGTTTAAACCATTTCGTTACAGAAAATATTAACTTACGTTACGTGTAAAATTGGTGTGTATTTCTGTTTCCAATGAGATTAGTCTGAACTATTGTTAGAAAAGTCTTTCTGATGTAATACTTCTTAAGTAACAAGACAAGAAATGAACATGCTTTTAATTTTTCTACTTTGATGACAACACATGTGATTTGCTTCGACTATATTGGGTAATATATCCATCAGATTACAAAAAGATTTAAGAAAATTATACATTCATGCTGTTCATCCTTTATTAGTGCTTACTCAAACATTGCAAAAGAAGAATGTTTAACTTCTGACTGGAGAATATATTTTGAACAGGCTCATAATATATGTCATTTTTAACAGATTACAAAAAGGTGATATTTCTATAAGCCATTCGCTATACGGTTCATAACTGACATTTTAACTCATACTACTGAATTGAAGTTGAACCAGTAATAAATACAGAAATAATTTGGTTATGTTGAACTGATGCTTCTGTGAGTCAAATACATGGACTCCTCTTCCTAAGATGAGAATAAACACTGGTCATCACATTAAAGGAACCAATGGTGAAGTTAGTACACCATCTATTCATTCATAAATACAGATGAGAAAGTCACGCTGTAACGTACTGTATTATATGAGAGCCTTTCAGCCCAACACTATGCAATAACTGGGTTTAATTTAGTGTTTTTTTAATAAGCTATATTATCAAAGACCAAAGAAAACCACTTAATCAATTACCATTATGAATCCACACTTCTTCGGACTCTTTTCCACCTCATTTCACAGTGACTCACAAAATATTGCTATTTTAGGTTAGAATTACGACTAAAAAGATAGAACTTAACATTTCTTACAGTCCTGATGACATAAAACTGCTCCCTCTCAAGGGGTGTTTGGTCATTTAATTTTTTTAAAATAAAAATATGAAGTTGTAACTATGATTGCAAAAGACAAAATCTACTTTTTCAAATTTTTTTAAATACGTATGTTTGAAAACTTTAATTTTGGTTGATTTGTGGATGAATTAGGAATTTCATTTGCATCGAAGAGTTGACAAATCCAAAGTGACCAGCAAAAATGCAAATATATGTGGGCAAAATATTTTTAAGACAAAGTATAAATGTGTTGGTCTCCTGTCTTGTAATTAAGTGTAATGACCTGTGACGTTCTCAGGTAGCGAAATTCTGTTGTTAACTAAAACTACTTAAAAACCTGATTCACTAAATTTCTAGTAGGTTATGACAAGCATTGATAACAGTTTTCAGCCAACAAGTAAAGCAAACCTTGAAATTTTTTTACATCTACTGACACGTTAAAAATGACTACTAGCTCGTGTATACATAACATCAAGACTTCGTTAGGTTCCACTGCACTTATCTACACTGATAAAATGACAGTTGCTACAGTCAGGAATTTACCAAATAGTTGAAATATTTCAGCACAACCAGTTTTATATTTGCTGACTATGAGGATGATGTACCTAGCATAGTTTTTACATTAAGCCTCTAATCAGTACAAAATCATAAAAGTTTTAATCGTTTCCGAAAAGGTATTTATCTTCCAAATTTATTCATTCTTCGATTTCCATATTTTCTAACGATTTCTTTTAATCTCAAATAAAAATGAGGCACTCTGCCCTTAAAAACTACTTCATTATGCATTATCGTACATCTCAAAAGGTAATTGTTTTCCGAAACTGTGGTTATACCTTTTCTAAATATAATATTTCACCCATCTTTTAGTGGGACTGGGTTTTACTAAAATTCATAATAATAATAATGATCTAACTTTAGTAAATAGAGCAGAGTACATTTCTGTCAGCGTTATAAATCATACCAAACTCAAAATCTCATTGGTTCAAGAATGCTACTCTTTATTCACAAGGTCAGATTATAAATAAGTAAGAAAATAAAAATTGGAGACGAATTTAAAGGAACATCAAAAACAAAATTAGGGTAAACAAATAATCAATATGAGATGTATCATCCGTTCTTGCATTTCTGACCTTCCAACTAACTTCTAGTCAAGAAATCTGTATTTCAACTACACCCACATGATAACCTTGAACAATTTATGTACGACCTCACCCATAGTTCTGTTTCCTCATTGGTGCTGCTTAAAGCTGTTGACTCTGAATGAAAATATGAGAAATTCAGATGATTGATTGTTTACGATGTATACGACTATTTTTCTGAACATCAAGCTCTGATTGTGAAAAATAATCATTAGCATCTCCAACAGTTTTTCACCACCCAGATAAGTTCACAAGGTACGAAAGAGTAAAATTCAGGAATATCTGTATTCACTTACAGAATCTTGAGGTCAAACTATCCAGTCTGACATAAATCAACATCATTACCATCACTGGTTTAACTCAAAGCACCATAAACTAACAGACAATTACAAACGAAGTAAATCAATAGTTCCTATTATTAGTTTAAGGTCACCATATGAATGTAGGCTAACCAACTGGTTTTGTCCTTCATTGTCCTATGGAAGAATATTGGATGAAATTATTGATCAGTATATATGTAACTTGGCTTTTTGTATTCAGGCATATAAAAAAATGAAATCGAATCAAATTACCAGAAATGTAATTATGAACATTCAGTAGGCCCCTTATTAGGTAAAGAAATTCGTTGCATAAAAATAGATAATTCAATTTGTAAATGATTATGTATGTTTACACGTCAGAGCAAAAAAGAAATATGCGAAGGAAATCTCAAAGTGGTCCTTAGAATTTCTGTTGATCTTTTGTACACGATTATTTAGCGCGTATGTTTTGTAGGGAATAATATTGATAGTGCAATTGTACAGTTAATAAAATTCAACATTTGTATGACACGTTGTACTCAGACAATAAAGTCTAATGCCTCAAACTACAAGACCCAAAGAATTTTGATCTGTTATCATATGTGACGGTCAGCAAATAGCCTGAGTCCATAATTCAGTTTTTTTTTAATTGACTTAGTTATTTAAAATTTTTTAATGTAGTCTAGTGCAATGCTATTAATTCAGATTCAATATTAAAGTACTGAAGTTTTAAGAATGCACAGATCTGTACATTCTAAATCAATAAGAACCGTCGTGTTTCATCATAATTGATTTTTATTTTATCAACTTCAAAGTCCATGTTAATATTTCTTACAAATAAATCATCAAGCTGAGGAATTATTGAGATTTTCATCGAATATCACCACGTTTTTAGTGAGAGAGTACCTTGACCTGACGCAATATACTACATAGCCGCATAATTAGTGGGAAAGAAATACAATAATAAGCAAATGCATATAGTGTAAATGGTTTGATTATCTCATCTACATTTGTCCAATTACATTTTGATGCTATAGATTTTGAATAGTCAAAATCTTCAAACAGTATTTTTTAATCATATTGATCTCGTTTGCTAAACACGAAGACCAGTATAGATGGCAGTATTCTGTGAAATATTTCATCTTGGAAACCTATGATTTTATTTATTTGATGCATATAAACTTATCAGATAGTTCACCCGTTATGGTTAGGAATTATTTTTTCGTAAACCTACAGCATTTCATGAAACACTTGGGCTGTATGAAAACTGATATTTAACTTGCTTCTTAAGTTGACTAAATATTTTGATACCAGATATTATTTGACAGTTGAGGGCAATTTTTTGCATGGAACAATTTTGAATTTTATCAAAGTCCTGTTGATTATTAACTTGAAATTATTTGAATAAAATTACGGGCATGGACAAATTACCGTGCTCTAATTCGCAAATGAAAAACAAGCTTTTATTTCCGCTTAACAGCAAGTTTAGATGTTATAAATCCCACTATTTTAATACCATACTATATTTTTAAGTAATAAGAAGCACTTATATCCAAAATCTTTAACACGTTTGCTTTTTTTCTACCAGCTCAACATTCAAGGCTTAGTGTATGTGAAAGCAAGGATTACAATAGTATTAGCTCAGACCCAGTTGAATTAGAAGTAAATGTATTGGTACACGATGAAACTTGCATGAAATTTAGTCGTAATTTATACGTTACTTATCCAAATAACTTAACATTATGGGACATTTACTATTTCATCCTTTCACCAACATTGTGCTACGAATTAAACTTCCCGCGCACAATGACAATAAGGAAACAGTTTCTGTTCAAACGTGTCTTCGAATTGGTAAGTTAATATGATGGAGTATATTCACAAATATGCTATTTTGTTGGCTTGACTTTCACTTCTACAGTCAACAGAAAGATCAAAACACTTTCATTTTGAATTCTTTCAGATAAAGATTATGTTGACATGAATCTTGTTTCATCGTTTCTGGAACTCGTAATCATTGAAAGTGTTCAAATTTGCGTTGTTCTATTTCTTATTATATGTAATTTAACAACAGGTCACCATATCCCAAGACTTTACTGATAACCCATTCAGTTTGTGGTTATTCGTACAAGAAACTTTACAATAACAGATTTTTCGCCACAAAGGTAAATTTTAGGCTACTGAATTGATTAGTATGTAATGTTCGATTATTTGTTTCAGAAAAAATATACACTGTGCTATCTGTGTCAAATATTGAATACATTAATTTAAACATAATTGTTACTGGCTTTTATGATCTAAAATTTTGAATTCCACGCCAAAAATAGTTGTCATCGAGAAGCACTTTGAATTCAGGTAGAATTATCACTAAATCAGACAATTATAAAGCAACAACATCATTGAGTAAAAACATATTATCATTAGTCTAATGTTAGGTGGTTGTCAATAGGGAACTTTGGATATAGTTTTCGTGCTAGTTGGCACTCCTCAGCTATGCTTACCTGCACGCTTGAGGAGACTTATGTTTCCAATGAGACGCCATCCCGTGACACCCAGATTCATAGTTTGAGACGCTGCCACTTGGTCATTCACGAAGCAACCGACCTCCCATAAGAATGAAATATTAACATTGATTGATTAGTGAGTATGAATCCATATCACGAGTGTGAGTTATTTCAAAAGTAGCAATCGTAAATATAGTTATCTTGATCAGCTACTGTGAGGAATTCCTGAATGATTCAGTACATAATTATGAATAATTAACCAACCGAAGTTTAGCAAGCGTCCAATGTCATTAGTCGGAGTTGAAAACAAAATGGAAATACAAGCAGAATCTGAAAAAATGTTACAACTTGTTCAGAGTAAAAAAAATGAATATTTGAGAAAAAAAGTAACTAACAAGTATGTTACATTCACATATTTACGAAAAACCTGAGTTAAAATGTTCACAGGGAGTTTCACTGGTTCATTGAACTATTGAATTCATGAACATAAGATTGATAGAATGCAGATAGGTAAGTGGACTTGCAAACATCGTCTTTACATAAAGTTTCAACTGCATTATTTTGAGAACCATGCGTTTAACAGCTATCAGAAGGTAAATCTCCATCAACTACGGTAGATGAGCCTGTATTTCTAGACTTTCTGAAAATACCCCGCGTTTCTATTACTTTCCAACTGTCCATTAAATGGGACCATACAGAAGTAAAGACAATTCTAAGATTTTCTTTCACAATCCACATCAAGAGATATTATTTGAATAAGAAAAAAGAGTATTCAGAGAAAGTTTTCTTTTCGACGAAATCATTTACTTAAGCTGTACAGTCGTATATATAGTTATATGGTTTTTTTTTACAGAGATTTATATATAAAAAGCTACCTGGAATGGACAGTACACGAAGTTCCATAGTTGGGTTCCATTGAGTAGCAAGAGGAACTTAATTCACTCTTTATCCTCTAGGATCGAACGAATCTGTTCTACTGACACAAGAGATGAGGAACTATTTCAGCTTCGACAGACTCTTATCAGGAATGGTTATCCACCTAGATTCGTCGATAGCAACTTAACACCTAGACTTCATCTTGAAAAGCATCGACAGTACAGAAGAAAACGTTTATGAATATGGGATTTAAAGGGGACACGGTTGCTGAAATCGTAAATAAACGGATCTCAAAATCGTTGGATAAAACGTTCTACGCAGCTAAGCTTCGTTTTCTCAAACTGACCTACATTCTTGGATGTGTTAAGGATAAAATCCCGCTTTGGGCCACATCAATGTGTATCTATAAATTTGCTTGCTCATGTAGGGCACGTTACATGGGTCGTACAAAAGTTATCACTTTACAAACGCATCTCAGAACACTATCCGGCTTGGCTTTTAAAAGGTGAATGTAACGTGTGACTGCAGATTAGAGTGAAGCGTTGTGTCGATCGCTTCAGTGACACGGAAAACACGTACGAACGGCCTAGAGTCTCGATTGGTCCCGCTTCCCTGTCTAGCCCAGCCAGTTGAGCCCAGAACGCAAGTCTTATCCTCTGAGATATGAATCATTATATTCCAGACATACTCTATTTATATACCGATCAACCAGACCACATCGTACCACATCGTACAATATTTGACAAGTGAAATAAATACTGACCAATAGGAAATGTCCATTTAAAGTCCAAGGACACCATTAGACTTAACATGACAATTATTGGTTTATTTTTTTGCACATCCTAACAAAAACAATTACTAGTTCTATACAGGAGCATTTAATCAACTATGGACATATCGCTCCAAAGGATTTCTTTTTTAAAGTGATCTACAGAGTCAAAGGAATTGGATCGAAGGAATGTTGAATCATTATTTTATGTACTACTGAGGCACTGGTAATCCACAAACTCAAGCCCGAACTTTGCATGCGGAAACGATTCGTCCAACCTCTCATCCTTCCTTGGCCTTAATTCCCTTAATGGGTATGTTTCTGGATATTTTTTTCTTTCTTTCTGCACTTTTATCTGACCATTATTGAATTTTTTAAATTATTATTTTGCTATTTTAAACTCTAATAAGTTATTCTTCTTCTTATTATTATTATTATTATTATTGTTACCTTATACAAGTTTTCTTGATTATGACCTTTATGTTTGTCGTTTTTTTCTTCATATCTGTCAATTGGACTATTATCTGACCCATAAACGATTTTCTTCCTTACCCCTTGATTAGTACGTAACCTCATTTAATAATAAGAGTCTCGAATCCACTTTTGTGATGCAATCTTTTCTATCCTCCTATAGACATGTATTTTCCATATAACTATATACACGAATGTACAGCTTAAGTAAATGATTTCGTCGAAAAGAAAATTTTCTTTGATGAGTTCTCTTTCTCTCATTCAATGACACTATGGGTTATTTTAATTATCCAGATATTATTTGATGTCAATGTTGTGCATGTTGGATGGCCAACTCCATAGAATAGCTGGAGGAAATGCGCAAGACAAGTTGGTCTAGTTTTAGTTGAGCAATCTAATAATAATGAGTCCGGAACACATGATAGTAAAGCTTTTAAACTATGATTTTTACTCACTAGAATACTTTTTTGACTATACTTGTAAATAAATGTTTCAGCTTAAATTTCTTTCAATAGATATTCATTCCCCAACTTATACTCTGCTTGATTCAACAATGGATTCTACCTATACTGTCAAACAGTTACGTCCCATTCACAGAATCAAGATTTAGCTTGATTGTTGAACGTTGTTTGAAATTGGCCATACCAAATCATCTCATATGGTTACTGTTTTTCTACCTTTCATTTCATTCCCTATTAAATGTAATTGGAGAGGTTTTATACTTTGGTGATCGATTCTTTTACAGCGATTGGTGGTAAGTTCATGATACTGTATTTCTACAAGTCTATATGATAATACCAGTTTGTTGATTAAGCCACCTGAGATTTAACGTGAATAATCATCACACAGTTCGTTTACGACTCAATTTGAAGAGTGAATTCCTCTAGTTCTGACGAGTAACCGTAACATTTGGCTTCTCAACAGCTCCGAATGGTATAAATCTGCAATTCATAGTATTCTTATAGACACAGTTTTACATCACATACCCAGTAAAGTTGAGTTCAAATTGGCACAAGATATTATAAAACAGTGAGAAAGCACAAAATGTTTAGCGTGGTAGTTAAGATCGATTAGTAGTTATGTTAAAAATAAAGTCATAAGAAAAAAGGGTGATGTTATGAATATGAACTGAGACAAAATGGAAAAATTTTCCAATGGGTGATAATACGTTCAGTCCTCTAAGTTGATATAAAATTAAAGTCACGGATAAATATCAGTATTTCGTTCGAAATATGAAATAAAGATTATGTAAAGTAAGTTTCATAATTAGAATTAATTCAGAATAAAAATGAGAGGTTCACCACAGTTTCCTTATATTTGAAAGTTGAAGTTTAAAGAGTTTGATGGTAATGGTCTCCGCAAAGCTGACTAAAAGTAGGATCTACTGTTTGTTAATTACGTTTAATGTCTTGAAGATATCCGCATTTCATTCAATATCCATTGCGTATTTAGTAATAGAACTTGTGAACACTTTGAAACACAGGTAGCAAAAATCTCTACAAAATAACCCATCAATGTTACTTCGTTTTGAGTAGTTTGTGTAGCACCAGCTTGTAATGAAAGCTTATTTTGGGCATATTTGAGATTTTACCCACTTATCTTCTTTCACTAATTTCAAACTATCAAGAAGAACAATTTTCTCTAAACCAACATTTTTTTAGTTAATGTATAGTATTTACTCAGTTGTCTCGCAAGAATTTCAATATCAGGTGACTTTTTACTCAGAAACGTAGTTTCAATGTAAAATGGATAAACCAGTTTTAAAAAATGACACAACCGACAAGTAGCATACTTCAAAGCTGTAAAATAATAGGCTTCTGAAATTTATATGGTATAAATGGTTTCTGTAATTCTTCGAGATCGAGTAAATTTTATATATCTACCTATAATGCAGGGGGATTTTGTTAATGATTATCTAAAGTGTAATAAAATACAAACGTTTTTCACCGTAAAATTACGTTAATAAATTCGGAATCGAAGTGGAGATATTCAGTTTGGTAATTTCCTTTCCAACACATTTCTCACCTTTTGCCTCCATAACTAAAACAAACATAGCAGCTGCACAGTGGAAAAGACATTCATTCTATGATTATGTAAAACTGTCGAATTAAGCAATCATCCTTGTCCTCGAATTAGTATTTTGTTAACAATTTTCTAGACAGAAAGTAGTGAATTCTAATTAAAATCACGTTGTAACCAAATATACTGTTCAAATATATGCTTGATCTACCACCTTTGTCACAAAATCTCTTTATAACTTTTTTCTTTGCATGTGCATAATCTTTCCTACTACTACAGATGTTATTACTACTCTTAGTAATCTGGAATTTGTCTCGATAATTTTATCTCTCTGTGCTAATAAGACATGACAACTTGAGCTGACGTACTTATGTATCAGATTCTACGTTGCACATGACTATAACTGTGTAAGAGGAAGCCATAAGGCAGAATTTGATAGTAGAGATAGAGGAAAAGTATTAAGAAGAGATGAAGTTAATTTAATACAGACGAGGTGTTTTTGAATGCTGCTAGAGTTATGTGAACAGTTGATATTTCCCAGTTACCTACATTGAGGAAAGATAGTTTTTCTTGAGGTATCTGAAAAGAATATTGGATAGGTAGTGATTTTGCCAACCTGGAAGGGTGACCGTTGACCCCAAGTGACAAATGTTCAAAGCCGATCAAACTGCTTTTTTCTGAGTAGTTGTTAGTGTGTTGGTTCGGCACTCCATATTTTTATTTACTCACAACAAACAAAAAATATATCAGAAGGGAGTTTTTTGTGGATATTATGGTAATTCCAATAGTTGAGATCATGGGTCACTTGAAGCTAGACCACTATGGAGAACCTGGAGGCACTGAACGGCCGTTTCGTCCTGCTGTGGGACTCCTCAGTAGTGCGCATCCACGATCTCGCCCCGCGAGATACGGGCCCAGGACCTATCGGTCTCGCGCGCGAACGCTTCCTTCTCCTTCAGCTTTCTCAGCTGTCGTTGCTAGCCCTCCCTTGTTTATCAGCTCTAGTACTCCTCATCGCTTGCTTGTTTGCTCGTGCCTTGAATTTCTCTGTTCTTGTTCAACTGATGTTAATTGCTGTCCAGTGAGGATGAACTAACAACTTAGAACTTATCAGTATTATTCATATACATCACAGAATATCATTAATGATGTTTGATCGAAGTTATATTTCTATTTAAACTTTATAGCGTTTGTTCCTTTTTTCTTATGTTTGGTCTCATAAAATATTATTTTTGCGTTTATGCAGGAATGCGGAATCTGTGCCAGCGTTTTGGTCAAAATGGAATATTCCTGTCCATCGTTTTGCTAGACGGTAAGTTATATCAGTAACTTTCATAATTAACTACAAATTATTGAAGCAGTTGTTATTGTAATGAGTACTGATCTTATTGTTTTGGAAAACGTAGAATAATATAGTAATTAGAACAATTTGATGGCTTATACATATGTAATATTTATTCAGCTATGTAATTTTGGTAATTTTATCGACTACTCAAATGGTAGATCAGATTTAGACGGATCACACAGTCGCTATCAACGATTTTTCGATGCACTCCATTTTGTTCCATGTAACAGTTTAAAGTACTGCAGAGCAACAGAGAATCGACAAAATGCACACACTTACAAGAATGTAAATGCTTGTGTAAGATAAAATCCACTCACTAATCCTTAACTATGGCTCTATTGTTCTTATCTCGTTCAACACCAAACACTTTCGTTTGTCAAACTCACTAACTAGTTACAGGTATGTTTTTTGTTGTGACTCACAAGTTTATGTAATAACTAATGATAGCATCAATATACTCAAACTAAAGTAGGTTGAGCGTGGCCTAAAACTACAACCCAATGCTTGAAATGTTAGTGCTTTGACAATTAATCTACTGCTTTGAATGCTTCAACTAAAAATGTGTGCTCAGAAATTTAAGACATTCCAGCCTTTATTAAAAATAATAATTTGTGTTGTATGCAAGTTATCTGTATAGTCATAATGCAAAACATAATAGCACCGAGTAACACTTGTTTTTACCGAGCCAATACAACTCAGGTGATATTCAAATGGAAATCGAATAATAGTAAGATCAACCAGTAATCAGTACATAAATAGATCAAAATTTAATCCATCAATAATTAAGAGAAAGATCATATTCATGCGATATTGAGTCAGTTATCACCATAATAATTAATAGCGCTTCTATTCATAATGATAACATCAATCATGAGAAGTCATTATTATTCAAGAGTATGAAGGCAGAGTGACCTGTTATTTATGGAGATATGAAAATTCATCTGTTAAGTTTATTCTAGTTTCTTTCTTATGTAAAAAATTTCTCTTTGAAACTGAAAAAGTCATGTTTGTGAGGTGCACTATTGTTGGTAAGTCGTAAAACTCGATGCCAGGTTAAGCCATTTAAGTGACATTAATTTTTTCCATGCTTACAAATAGGTTGTTTGTTCAGTGTGAAATTAGACTCGAAACCATTATTCATTACTAGGTTCGTGTACATCCTTGTTAACTTTAAAACGAATGTTATGATTCGCGTGACCCTAATTTTTAACACATACACATACTTCAGTCAAAGTGATCTGCTAAAATTTTTATCCACATGTCGAACAGTGCCTGAATTCTATAATTATTTACTAGTAATGGTTTTGTTTCGTTAAGCGACTTTCCACTCATCCATTACTTATTGGCAAAAATGAGTCCAACGATTGCAGCTGAGCACAGTTCATGGGCTGGTCATGGTATCTATCATAACAGTGATGTTACCTCAAATGTAACTGAAAATAAGACTTTAGAGAATAATCCTTAAATTTATCAGCATTATGTATTTTCGGTGTAACAGTATGTTGATTCGAAAGCATGTTTAATTCCTGAGTAACTTACACAGAACATTGTACAGTGAAGGGACTACTAGTTCAAATTACGTTCATCAGAAGCTGTTCCATCTTATCTTTGCAATTTTAGTTTAGGATATGTTATTTTAAACGAGAATGATATTTCGATGTAAATACTTGTTTAATATCTAGATGACTATTTTAATTCTACTTTACTGAATGTTTAGTTTCTTTCACCATAACGCATTAAAATTTGAAGTACATAGTTAAAAATTACCCATCAAAACCAGATCTCAGTTAAAATAAACCTGTCTATGTAGTGTGACTTTATCCATAAGTAGTTTGAAGTTCGCTTCAGAGTATTTTATACTTAACTTTTATGGTGTAACACTTCTTCTCTTTTAAAAACTTAGGCATATATACATACCCCTTTTACGGTCAGGGTTCAGCCGCTTCCAAGCTGGTTTAGTTGTTTTCATGATTAGTGCATTTTTTCATGAAATACTTGTTTCGATTCCATTGAAAATGCTACGATTCTGGGCCTTCTTTGGTATGCTAAGTCAAGTACCATATGCCTACATAGTTTCACGCTTATTCCCTAATGGTGGTCAAGGTGGTAACTTAGCTGTGTGGCTTACGTTAATAATTGGTCAACCATTAGCTATTCTCGCTTATTTCCATGACTATTTTATAATACATTATAATGTTGGTGGAATATAAACAGCTATAGTCAATAAGTGAGTAAACGAAATTTTTTATTGTTTGGTTTTTCGTGATATCATTTCCTTACTCGTTGCACAGTGAAGATTTATCGATTTAATTAGATATTTACACTTACCTAATATTTTCTTTCTTTATCAATATTGTTTTTCTGATTATTAATTAATGAGATAGTCATTTTTAATGTTGAGTAGTTTGTCGACTGATAACTGTTAACTTCATAAAAGTGATTGCCTGGATATTCATTATCCTCTCTATGCAATTCGGCTTTCTTGGCTAACAATTTTTTTTGCTTATCATTTCTGATCCTCGTTGTTTTCTTTATTCTTCTTTACAAGTATTACTAAAGCAACGAAGAAGTCTTGTTATTAATCTAATTTTTTTCCTCTATTCTCATCATTGTAATTTGATTTCCATTTCAACTGAATTCTTACTTTTGATGTAATTACGATCATATTGTCGGTCCAGTGTGTTTAATTGATTCGCCATCTGTATAATTGTTAACTATTTATAAATATGTGCAAGATTTTATTAGACATAATATCCAGTTTCATTCTTAACACATTAAAGTTTGTGAACAAAAAGTTCATATTTGTAGGTTGAATTCATGGCATCAATGCCTTCAGATACGAAAGATAAAGAAGTAAAAACGTTTTTCATTCCATTTGGAACTATCTGAAATGCTTGTAAGAACTTTCGTCTTAATTCGAACGGACAGCTTCAGAGTAATTGGGTCCCTAGTTAATGTGAGACATTAAAAAGGAAATCATATAAAAATTCTCATTGATTAAAGTTAAAATAAATCCAAATGTTTCGCTCGACATTCTAGTTCATGCTTTTTCAAGGGGAATAATCAAACATCAAAGTTATCGAACATTAATATATGATTCTTGAATTAACTGTGTACTAAATAAATCCTCCAGTCATGTTAACAATTCTGAATGGGGAATTTGTTGTAGTGCTGGTATGAGTCATTTAGTGTGTGAAGGGAAATCTTGATAAGATAAGAAGTGTAGTTGTATGTAAACATGATGGGAAAGAATTAATTGGGTATATATTGCATCAGGGTGTGAATTTATTTATCCGTCTTTTATTCTTGGATAAAAGTATGATATCAGGGATTTTCGGACATTTTTCGTCCTTTTGGTGAGATTATTGATATATGTAACATCATAATTTTCACTGGGGATTTTTTGTTCATCGTTTAAAGCTATTTGTATGTGCCCTCCTATGAACTCGTCTCTGTAGCGCATCCAAGCTTGACGATGAATGAAGCAAGAAAACTGAGAGTTCGAGCTTGAAATGAGATTTTTAGTGCAATTCTCCTCTTATTTGTGGCACTCGACCACTAACTTCCTTGGAAGACCTCTGAAAATGCTTAATACCACACACATATTGAGAATTTTAAAAAATCCATGCCCTACAAATTCACAGACAGGTATTCTCTCTCGACTTCAAGTGACAGTTGTTGATAAAACTGGGCAATCCGACAGATATTATAGTGAATAGACTTTATCATAGCAAATATAGAATGAAAATAAACAAACAAATAATTATAAATCGTTGTCCTAAACTAGCTAGTTGTTTATCGCATCTCCAAAAAATTAACTGAATACAACAAATTAGAAGTAGTAATGTGAAATACAAATTGATTAAATATTACCTGCTATGGCACAGCTAATTTTATGCCATCCCTAATTCATATTGTTTGGGTTCACCCACATATGTAGGACTTCAACTGTCAATCTTTCTTTTTACGAACTAAAACCGTTTTGAAAGATTCCTATTCCGTTGAAGTCAACTGTATGTTCAGATTGTATTGAATGTATCGCCGACTTGTTTTATAGTTATTTTGAAGTCTTCTGATGAGTTGGGAATATGCTTCAAGTAAATCTTGCTCTTTGTTCGTCGAGAGTAAAATTGTGTCAATGTTATTGTAAAGTTTAATAACGTTCTGTTTTCAGTTCTTACCATTTGTTCAAATTTTGAAGCTAATTAAAACTTAACAATTCGCTCACTTCTATTTTGACATGTTTTCCAGACTCTAATTTACAAATACATCCTAATTAGTTACATTGGTTTATGTATAATATTGATGAACACCTCAGTAGTAGTTAAATATATGCCATAAAATCTGTTCATACATATCGAACATTCAAATTAATGCATTTTACATTCCACCTTTCATAAAACCAAATATTCGTTCCTAATATTTCACAAGTACGGAAACTGATCATCTTGTTATTTATTTTTGCAGAAAATGAATAAATCTATTGAGAAGTGGAATTTACTCTACTATTTAATAACCTTTAAAACTAAGTTATTATTTCATACACTAAATGCTTTATAGGTAACATTACCAAGGTTTGACTTGATAATTTCGAATAAATTGAGCATTGGTTTTTTTTTATTTCAACACATAGATAATGGTACAAAGAGGCACCAAATACATGTGCGCCACACAAATCTCATTCGATATGTGTGAGGGCTGTGATACTGCCCGGGTGCCCAGACCGAAGCAGGTGGTTTTCTTAGGGGGCCACACCCCGAGCCTTTGACCTAATGGTCTGATCCACAAGGCAGTGGAGCATCGTAAGGAGATGCAGTCTCATGGAAGCCGGTGACCAGCAATTGGTTCATACGCCATTTGTTCCCGCAGGATACTGGAGCCCATGTGCACCATTGGTTTTGAATCCGGTTGGATTGTTGTAAATAAATTAATATATTTGTAATATCCCAATGAATAGAAAAATTAGATTTTCTGACATTTCGTGACTCAGTGTAAGCCAATTCGTTGTGAGTAATCACAGTTTATGGGTACGTAAGTCATCCATGAAGAGAATTTCTGTAAACTTTCAGTGAAATAAAACATTTGTCTATAGAAATTTCAGGTGAAGACTATGGAAACCAAAGCGAATTATTATAATATAGAATATACATATCGGTATGCTAAAACCAACTTGTTATTATTCATTGCGAAAGTTAGGTTGAAACGAATATATCTAGCCTTGCTAGTCGTCCTTTACAAGCAAACAGTTATCACAGAACGTATAGCTAGTTATTGTAGAGGAGCCTAACATGCTATTTCAAACTATTTACACAACTCCTGGCTGTATACACGACAAACAATTTGAATCCCCACTGAGTATTTTGCTTTTTCAGCTAAGATTATTGCCGAGATTGATGTTACGAAAAGGGCATTTTTGACCGTTAAATGGTCATTGTTTTAGATAACTTTGCCTCGCACCTCAAAATGAACAAGAAAATGGTAATTAGCTTCAAAATTACTGATTTTTATTGATGAATGATAGTTTTTCACTGAGAAAATAAGTGTAAGAGAAATAATTTCAGTGAAATATTTTCGCGAAAATGAATAGGTTTCAGAGTCCGTTTTCTATATTAATTGTACGTTTTATGGAGTATACTGTATAGACCCTACTTTTCATTTGAGTGCGATTAAGTCAAATAGGTTTTAATGACAATTTTATTAGGGTCAATGAAATTTTCATAACATCTTAGATTTCGACCGGTTTATTGATTGCCTTTATTCTCTAACATTATTTGATTTTCATATTAGTTATCGACCACTTCTCTAACAGAAAGGTCACAGTAAGCACTTTTGGCAGAGTATATGCATAAAATTAAGCGGGAAGTATCGATTAAGATAAATAAATTTGAGGATATAATTTAGCAAAACTGTTCTTCTAACGATTTCTTCACTAAAGCTGTACGAACAGAAGTTTATAAATAAAACAAATAATTATTATCAAAAGTATAATTTTGTGGTTGATAAGATCTAGAAATGAATTTCTTTGCTAAACAATTCTCTCTTGTTTTAGATAAAAACTAATCAACTTTTCTCATTGTTTCATTACTCTAATTCTGGCATTATTTTTAACTGTGTTGCATAACCAATGTACACATACAAACGATCTTTCATGGTGTATATTTCCATTTTTCGGAATCTCACGATTAATACATTTTTAAGAGACCAGCTTCACGGAATATGAGTGACAGTGAAAGGAAGCTACTAATCTATTGCGTTTTGTTAAGTCATTAGCACCCATTAGACAATACCTAAAAATAGTCGAACTACCAGTTTGTGCAAAACAGTAAATTTAAGTAAAATAAAAGCTGTTGGGCTTAAGATGTCATAACGGACTATATGAAAGCAAGTAGCATAGTTAACTGTAGAGCAGCATAGTTAAATAGCCGCTTATCTGCAGATAGTTAAGAATAGCTATTGAATTATTAAGTCCAAGTTCTGTGTGTACCTATACATTACTGACCTTTTAGTTTTTCAGTAATTCTGACAGTTACCAGCAATACTGTACATTATTATATTATTGCTCTAACCAGATGATTACACCACGCTCCAGCAATTCTGATAATAGCACAAAAACTAAGCATACTTGAAGTAAACAAGCAAGAAAGCATGTTGACTTCTAAAAAGAAGATTTGGTATGTATTATAGTTCAATCTCTTATAAGCAATACTACAATAAGTGAATATGCAGGACCTTATATTGATTATGTTATCAAGTCTAGGCTTTTTAATAAATCGGTTTCATTTAATGGTTATAATGACAGTGAAATGCTCTCATAATCATTATTAAAAGTAAGTACTTATTTTCGTCCATCTAATACGCTTTTTATTTTTAATTTAGTTTCAAATAGTCATGCAGGTAAAGTAATTGAGGATGATGAGACAATAATAACTCAGATATTTCGTTACATATGTTCGGAAAGATCGTGAATTCGGTAAAATTATGGTGCAGAAATAAGCCAACTATAATTGAGAATTAGGCTTTTGCGCTCAGTTCAAACATCATGTACAATGATCAGTGAAAATAACTTTGCATACTGTTCAGAATGTTTAAAATAACTAGAAAAATGATTTTTGTCACCATTTAATATCCAATATTTTCGTCAAGACCTGGTATAAACCGACTGATTTCTTTCCGCTTGCTTCTTCTTGTTTTGTTAAGGCTCCAGTTATTTGGTAGTAAAGATGATGACAATAATAGTAATAATGATAATTCATCCTTAAAACATATAGGTGACGTGAGGCATGCTAATCTACAGGCAAGATCAAATGTCCAGTAGATCAAAAACGATAGTGTTGAACTCATTAAATGCTCAACTCTGTATCCGGAAAATGCATATAATAAGTAAATCGACACTACACAAAACCTAACCCTAAACTCAACCCTGAAACAAACATGTGGTGTATGTTAGCATTAAACACAAACCAAATATAATGTCGATTGCAACCAAGTAATCAGTCAGTGTAGAAATGTTTCCTAATAATGGCATAAACTTAAATGTTGGGATTTTATCACTGGCGTTAAGTGAGAGAGCCAACAACCCCACTGATAACATGAAGGTTAGCTACTGTATTGTTTTAGTACGACTGTATTTGAATACCTCCAAGGTATTTTATCAGCTTTCTTGTTTGGGGGAAAACAGTTGTAGTTCTAGATTGTAAGTTTTACTTTGCATGATTAACCGGGTATTTTAATGTGAAGTTTCACAATAATTTGTTCGAGTGAATCTTCATTAACGACTTCAGATTATTTATGAAAAATTTATAGATTCCACAATCAAGATTCTTGATTCAGTCTTTTTCTGAATGCGCTAATTTCAGTAGATTGCAAGATCGAAATTGGGAATCAGGTTTCTGGAAAAGATTTTACAGATAAACGAGATTTGATCAAATGATACTTGATGTTATCAAACACACAGATTAGACACCATATAAAATATTCAGATTTCTCAGATTTGTTACAAAATCTTATTCTATGCAAATTTGTTATGTTTATATTGCGGTCAACCAACTACTAAGTTTAATCAAATTTTTACCGGATCATTATTGTTATTATGAGGAAAGTTGTGCAGCTATTTTGGATTTTGAAGATCCTCCAAGCTGACGTTTGGTTGGTAATTGTTCCTATTCTTGTGGGGATATGAGAGACGATCCAATGAGGAATTGAATAGCAATTTCTAAAGGTGGGAACACGTTTGGTGGGTGTTTATCGTGTGATTAACTCCATTCATTATGTTCATGTATATTTCATCACGCTAAGTGCTTCAAGTATGTCAGGGTCGGAAACATCACGTCGATGTGCGGAATAACTCTCTGTTTCCACACCAGAAACAATAGACCCTGTAATTAGGATCTGATTAAGTCATGTGTTTTTAATGATCACACATTATTTTTCCTACATTCAAAAAGGGTTTTATTTCTTCTTTGGTTTATTTATTATTTTTTTGCTGACACGGGTAGTATAAAATCCACTCTTTCATTCGGAGGCCCAAAATCTTTAGATTCTGACGTTACATTACGACCTACTGAAGTTTCAGTGTTGAAGATTACAGGGCATAAACTGTCTACGCGATGATTTTGTGTGGTTAATTAGAGATGACAATTCTCCATACATGCCATGTAAGTCTTTGTTAAGTGGAACAGAACCGTCAACACTAGGTTTGAGGAATTTAAAAAGGTTTGAAGTGGAGTTGTCTTTATCAACTTCCAAAGAAGATCCTGATGCTTTACTTAAATATTTATTGGTCACATGTGCCAAGTGCAGTGGTGATTGAGACTTCAGTCCACAAATTTCCAGCTACAATGTGAAACTTAGAATATCTTGCGACTTAAATTTATGTTTAACCCCTTTTGTTGGAGCAAACATGCATCATTTTGGAAGCTGAAAACATTCTCAACCTAGTTCATGGCTCTAAAATATTCTTGAAAGTTGATTCAAATGATGTTTTCTTTCAGATTCCTTTAAGTCAATCTTCATCCACTTTGACAACGATCAACAGTCCGTCTTTTATTTCGAGAAAAGTTAAGTAACGTAGTCAGTGATCGTTAAACTGTTGCAGCTTACCAAAACGAACTTATTATTCATGGTCTTGATAAGTTTGCTCATTATCAGAGATTCATTGCGCTTTTGCGTTTTCCACTTGAGAATAATTTTACCGTGAATCCAAATAAGTGTTCGTTTCTTGTATCCAGATTTGAATGTAATGAGTATCCAGTTGATGGCTACGGTTTTAGACCAGACATGAAGCGACTAGCACCACTTAAAAATTCATCACCTCCGGAGTCGTGGAGAACTACATTCATGTTGGGGATGCTAGATCTTCAGAAATCACTTGTGTTATAACTTGAAAAAGCTGATTTTTCTTGATACAACCGCGTATAACTGAGCACTAGAACACCAAACCCTTCCAAGTCGCAATAAGAAGACAGAAGACTAGCGAAAGGAATATTATTCCAAACAG